TTGGTTGATATTTGGTAGTTTCTCCTAATAAGGGGACCCCAATTTAGACCCCCAAATACTATAATCCCTTATCAAAGGGACCCCCCAAAAAGGTACCCCTAAATTTGGGAAACCCTAAACCCTAAATTGTAGTTTCCATTTTCTTTTCTATTGTCCCTTTATACCTCCTATAAACCCCTTTAAAAAGGGTACCCCCAATTTGGGGAAATCCCCAAATGCTCTGGCAGCTCAGCGGTGCAAATTTGAGAGTCCAGCTTTTCCTTGACTCTGCTGACCTTGGCGGAAGTTGTTCTTTTGACAGCTCCTGGACCTCTATGAAGCCCTAAGGGTCCAAGGACCCAAATAATCGGGCTTTAGGGCCCAGAACCCATTTATGTTAAAGTATTTGGACTCTAAAGCCCTGTTATTTGGGTCCTTGGACCCTTAGGGAAATAATCAGATCATAGCCGGCCCTGGACTAGATTGCCAGGAATGGTCCACCAACTGTGACAAGCTACACGCTGAATAAGCGGTAATACCATCCCTGCAAGTTTGGTGATACTCCCTCTCCCTCTTACAATACCCCAGAAGGTCCCATGTACTAGATAGCACAAAGTATGGCTTCTGCAGGCATTTCCTTTACGGTTCGGGTAAGTATTCCGTATATGGCTACTCAGGACATCCAAAAGAACAAACTCTAATTCTTCCACCCCTAAACCCTGAAACCCCCAGACCGCGTGCAGTAGCGGAATGTCCGGGTGCAGAACTGTCATGCCAGCATCAAAAACCAGGTCATGCCATCCTGGGTTGCTGCTTTGGGAACTGAATATTAGTGTTATTATTGTTATTATATTATTATTGTTACTATTATTGTTGTTATTATTATTGTTATTATTTTTATATATTATTGTTAGTATTATTGCTTTAAGCATTTTTATTAGTGTGTATAATTGCTATATGATTCGTGATATTCATAATTTTTGCAATTATTCTAATATGAGTTTCCTTTGATACCCAGGGTTAGGATCAGGGGTCATATCGGGGTTATGTAGGGCTCACTTAGAGGAGGTTGTATAGGGGGTATGTATGGTTTAGGGTTAACATACCATAGTGGAGAACTAGACGGGAAACAGCATGGAAATGAGACGGGAACCGAGGTCCTACATATTATAGGGGTCCTACAGAGAGTTGAGAACCTAAACTTGAAATTACCACATTGTCAAAACCTTTCTATGTGCTTCATCCATAATCTGGTAACTCCCTAAAGCCGAAACCCTGAAACCTGAACTGCAGTCCAGCATCGTTGGATGAGGTTCGAGTGGGTCACATCCAACCGAAGGGTGGATGCTGCCTGGAATCTTCTGTAACACGTGCTTTGGCTACCTACCCCAACAATCTAAGACCCTCCTGTCAATATGTGAGCCATAGCCTTAACTCCAATAATCCTCCTTAATAACCCCTATAATAGTCCACTATATAATCCCCTAAGTAAACACTTTAAGGAGTTAAGACTATAGCCCATATGACATGTCGAAGGTCCTAATTTGGGACCCTATTATAGCCACATGATACTTCTAGGGATTCGGGTTGCTAAAGCCCCCTTATTATCAGATTCAGGAAGCTTTAGCTCAAAGAGGAGGATCCCAATATACATGGAAGAGACCGTTGTTAGACACCCCCGTCTAGGCTTGCAAGAGAATGAGCACGTATCTGCAGGTACGCCTACACAGAACAAGTTTGTGGTATCAAGCCGATTGTAGTGCCAACAAAAGGGTTGCTAACCCCACTGCTTCGCCCACTAAATTTCCAAAGGATGGTCTCCCCCATTGTACAACCCCATTTCATGTTCCATCTCCTGCTCCCTTTGATAAATTATGGCAACTTAACCCTGAATCCTATCTTAGCAATGGCTTGCTGTAGAGGTCCAGAGAAGCCTGGTTTGCATACCTGGAGCCATCGGCGGCGGTGACATAGTCACGCAATGCCTGCATCTCAGGTGACCTGGCATAGGGGCCATGTGAAGTATGCTGCGTCAGCATTATCATCTCAGAGTCTGTAAAAGGACTGGGAACTGTGGAGCTGAAGAACATTCTGCCCATCTTAGGTTGTGGTGCGGACATGTTGCGACGCACCCATGACGGGTTATCCCATACCCCGTTCAAGTCGCAGTATAACAGACGGAGACAGAACACAAGCTTGACATCCCAAGGCTGATAGGTCCCGCACTGATGAATTGTTGGCCAATCCTGCCAGCAGCAATCGGCACAGACGGCTACTATAAAGCCCAAGTGAACACGCATGCCTGGGTCTTTCGGCTCCCAACAACGAAGAGGCCGCGCATTATCGATAAAGTCAAGTGTCTCATTTGCAGGAGCGTTTAGCGACACGCATGTTTGCGAACGCCGTGCCGCTCAGAATGTCCTGGCTCTTCATTCCAATCATGATGAAGGCGCGAGCTTCCTGGCGCCAGCAAGAGGAACTCATTGCCCGGTGACAAACTGGAATTGAAACCATGATGAAGCACTACAGTGCCAGGCGGCCGTTCATTACAGAGTGGAATCTCACCAGTATGCCTCATCGCGCAGGCCCTGTTCTTGACTGACATTTAAGCCCTGCCTCCTCCTGCTCCTGCTTTTCTCGGTGGCTTTGCCAGGGTTGCTACTCGCCTTTTCCTTGGAGCCCAAAGATGTCCAAAATTCTCAAACGACACCCTAAACCCGTAGCTCCTGAGCATGCCATCCGGCCGGGATGAAGCCCGCGTAGATTCCGACTGACAACAGTTTTCTGTGAAGCTACGCGGTAATGGGGATGGTGGCGACCCTACCACAGAGGCTACTCAGGATCAAGCCCTTGACCCCAAGCAAGCAAACCCACAACCATAAAACACACGATTGAGTGGCTGGCTCGAAATCAACCGGAAACGCACGGAACGGAAGGCATATCAACCCATCTTGTGATGCTTTGGATTGACAGTTGAAGGCCACTGAGTTCGGTACTTGAGAGAGTACTGCAACGCGAGGAAGAGGAGTAGCAGTGGATAAGGGCCGTTTTGCATCCACTGCCATGCACGTGCTTGCAATCCACACGACCTCCACCATTTGTGGGTACTGGGACTGCTCTGCTACTAAATAGTGTGCCAATGCCAGGAGCTCATCCCATAGTTGGACTCAGCTTGGACGTCGTAAATTCGGCTTCCCTTTTTGAGTGAAAGACTGTCGGCCTCTTATCGCGCTTTCAAAATTCTACCAGGTATGTAATGTAATGTAATGTAATGTAATGTAATGTAATGAAGTGATGCGTGCATGCATGTATGTACAGACATACAGCTCTGTATGTCTACCTCTCGCAGACTGTTGATGCAGCAGCATCTTATACTGTTAAGGAACTAAAACTAAGTTACTATAATCATTAAAGCCTCATTTGCAATATACCCATATTATGATAATTTAGTAACTTAACTTAAGCTCCGTAACAGGAACCCGGTATACCACGGGATCAGCCCGGAAAAACATCGGACACTCTCAGTTGGCCCATCAGACCAGGCCCCCTTGTGGCGACAAGATCTGCAGCATTAGTGGCCAAGACACATGATCCAATATGTCGTCCCCCTTAAGTAGATAGAATATTAGGGCTATATAGGGATAATGGAAGAGAAAATGGAAACTACTATTTAGGGTTTAGGGTTTATAGTCCCCCTTAAGTAGATAGAATATGGATTTGGGTATATGATAATAAGATCCCCATATGAGTAGTGTTTTTTTGGTGGTTAAGCCCAGTCAGATTATATAAGATGCTATACCCCAAAAGGAGGATATAATCTTACTCTATATTGGGTACCATAGTATCCCCAAATAAAATACCACTCATACACCCCAGCAAGGTGGTGGTCTGTACAAGTGTTCTATAGGGGTATCCGGGCAAATACAGGGTTTGGCTGCTAGACTCCCCAAATCCTATCATCCTTAATGTGGGGACGCATAAAAAAGGATCCCCGCCCATGGGGCTTGGTATACACCCCAGAATACTTTCCTGATTGTAGGGACTCCTAGAACCACCGCAGGGGAGCTTTGCAAACCCATCCGCATGAGTTTGACAGGGGACCCTCAAAATCCTTTGCAACCGCTACATAGCCGTAGACTCACTGGGAAACCCTAATATTGAGAAAACAACGTATCTAGACCTAAGTCAGCAGAATACATCTTGGCGGGGAGGGGTTTTGATGCAATCAGACTAGAAGGCAAGATGAGTCCTTTCAGATAATTGCAGGTTAGAGACCCTACATGGCTGCAGTACAGTAATCCAGGAGTCCAAATAACTAACTAGAAAGCGGTTTGGGGTACATTACGCTGTATACATATGAGGTTTGCAAGCGGACACAACAACTAATTGCTCAGGCTGCTACATTAGTCCGCAGTCCGCAGAGTCTCACGGCTCCTCGCTGCTGAAACCAGCCAGAAACGTTGAAATTCCAAGTGCCTGCCTCATGCCAGATCTTGCGTCTCGCCATAACACTGACCCTTTGGGTAGTGGAAAAAAGTGGCACTGACCTGACGGGGTTCACTGGAGGAATCTTCCAATCCTGCAGCGTTAAGTTGCCTGTTGAGTCGAAGCGAACTATCTACCACAAACTGCTCGGCAGTGTCAGCAACCATCAGAAATGCTGCCCAGTCGTCGGCCTTTGGCATTTGAGTGCGCAGGAAGATCATGGGCATCCCTTGTCTAGGATGAGCACTGCCTGTTATCACCTTGAACGTTGCAGTGTGCTTGTCAACGCCTGTTTCAGCTGGAGATGCGTGCTGCTGCGACGACTACTACTACTACTACTACTACTACTCCTCCTCCTACTCGAACTCCTACTCCTACTCCTACTCCTACTCCTACTCCCACCACCACCTCCGGCACCCGCTCCCGCTCCCTCTGCTGCTTCTGCTGCTGCTGCTCCCGCTGCTGCTGCATACCGTCACTTTGGGAAACTTCCGTTGCTTGTTGTCGGGAGTTTATCAAATGAAAGGCCCCGCACAGTCCCTTAACAGGAACCTGTAGTCCTGACGCACTTCCTATATATCCCTCAAGGGGTCAAGGATACTTTGGGCATCAGGGCTGATAGTTACATATACTTGCAACCACTGGCAAGCTACAACAAGCCGGTTATGCCATTGTTAACCTGCTTGCAAAGTCCCCTGACCTTCCAAGCATCCTCCTGTGAGAAAACCTTAGAACCCTAAACCCCAAGCCTTAAAACCCTAGATCCTAAACCCTCAACTCCTAAACCCCTAACCCCAAACCCCCAACCCTAAACCCTAACCCCCCAGTTGCAAGAAGGCCTGCTTGCGGGACGGTCCATGGTCAGCATTTGAGCCTGGCCCACTTCGACAGCGAATCAATACTTCCGAAATTAGGGTACGTATAGGGGTATATAGGGTTATATTGAGATAACGGAAAATAAAATGGACACTACTATACATGATAGGGTTTCGGGTGTAGGCTTTAAGTCACAATTTGGGGCAACCATATTATTCACTATATATACCCAATACGGTAACTTGATCTAACTTCCTTACTTATCAGCAACCCAGAATAAGGGAGGTCTGTGAGTGTCTGGCCCTAACAATTTGGGATTGTAGACCCTAAACCCTTAACCCTAAACCCTGGGTACATCAGGAGCCCTGTTTCTGCCCTGGACCCTTCATCAACATCAATTTTCGCTGTCTGTTGGAGGCGGGAAAGGGTTTAGGGTTTAGGGTTCAGGGTAAAATGGGCTGCAAGTAAACTATTCAGGACATTTCTAGATCCAGCTGGAGGTTCAACATTCGGTGTCCTTGTTCGGGGGTCCTCATTGTTCAGGGTTATACTATACTATATGTAAGTATACTTGTATATTTCTTAGTAGGTACAGGGAAGCTGATTTTTTGGAAGATCTCACGTGTCTCAGTAGGCGGGCAACAGCGGTTGGAAAGCACGGCGGTGCCGATTAAAAAGAGTTCGGCCACCCCCACTATTCCGGTGCACTCCATTTGTTGTCGCTAGAAATGTGTCTTGTTCCCATTTTCCTGCAGCAGTGTTGTTGCTGTTCTTCGGCTTCTGGCGGTTTGATGCCGTACTCCTTTGTTTCTGCAACTGTAACCTATGTCGCATGACTACGTTCCATGCTGCGGCCATTCCCAGCTATGCGTACTTTTGGTTCTCCCTCGTGAGCACGAGTGCAAAGCTCACTACTGTGCCTAAGGTCTATGGAGCAGAGCTTAGGTTGGACAACGGAGCTGCTTCAAACACTGGCGCGTAGACACAAACACGTCAAGCTGACACGAGCCCAAGTTGGCATCGCCTGACCAACCCGATGCGGTGCCAACGATGACGTCCTCGACTTGCTTGAAGTCCTGGGTGAGCGAGAGTGAGAGAGTGGGTGTGAGAGAGAAAGAGAGAGAGCGAGAAAGCAAGAGAAGGAGAAAGAGAAAGAGAAAGAGAAAGAGAAAGAGAGAGAGAGAGAGAGAGAGAGACAGACAGAGGGCGAGAGAGAGAAACGAGATACACAGATATATGTATATATGTATATAAGTAAAACTTATATTATATGTAACCCTAGTTTCCAATTAATTGTCCATATGATTGTCTATTTGATTCTTAATTACTGTAAAATCCGAATCTGGACCGCCAGATATGCTGCATCTTCAGTTCGTCAGGGCTTGTTCCTCTTATCGCACTGATTGTAGCAGGTTTCAAGGCACGATGAGACCCCTATTTTTGCCCCTACATACTTCTGTGTGGACATTGGGGGGATCCTTGTTCAGGTCTACAACGAAATACTAGTGTTTTCCATATTCTACGCACATTTCTTTTATAGGATATTGCCTAGGTAAAATTGAGTTTTCCGTACCCAAACCCTAACCCTGAACTCCCTAGAAGCCCCCTAGACCCTGAACCCTAGATCCTAAGCCCTCAGCCCTAAAATCACAAAGCTGAAGTCAGCTTCCGCCTTGAACCTCCCGTGGCCGGGCGCCAAT